CATCTAAGTTCCATCTGGCCTCGAACACTGGGGTGTACTTCAACAGACTATCATGGGTGTAGTAAGTGAGCTAGGCCCGCTGGTATCCCGAACTTATTTCTGCCCCTCGCCCATCCCTTTTTCCTTAGTTTTGTTTCAGAAGGGTGTAGCCCCTTAGTTAATATAGTCATATTAGGGGCCAGCCACTGATATGAATTTAAGCAAATAATTGCTTGGATCTGTATGGTAGTAGTTACCGGCTTACAGCCATATTCCTTTTCTTTTTTTTTTTTTGAGAACATCCAAGTCTTGCCCAAGGAAATGAATATGTGTGTGTGTGTGTGTGTGAGAGAGAGAGAGAGAGAGAGAGAGAGAGAGATAGGACGACAAAGTTGTGGATCTGAGCTGGGCTTTCTGAATCTGGAGGCTTTCAGCCCCAGATTGTAAAACAGAAGCCGAGAAAAGGCAGTGAAATGGGCTTTTTTTGGGCGGCSATGTTKGCATTGTTGGGCATGGGCGAGATTGTCTGATGATTTTTTTCTGCGGCCCTGTTGGGGATCCTCGCCACACCACTCTTGACTCAGAGAAAAAAATTGGGAGTACTCCTGAACGGCAGAAGAAAAGAAACTCCATTGGGGAGTATGCTTCACCACATTGCACTCCCGACTTGGGGCGCTCTCCGATTTGGAGGCCAGGAGGCGCACTTCAGACACAGACTGTACAGCACTGTCTAGCATGTGGCGATGAAAACTGTGAGGAGACTGCTTGTCTGCGCATGAGTTCTTCGGTCGAAACACAGGCCTCTGTGAGAGGTCTCCCAGGAGCCACATTCCGACAGCTCCCAAATTCAATCTGACAGGTTGAACTCCGGAGCTGGTGTGGCGAAGCTGCACTCCCGAAAATGACCAAGTTGGGAGAACTGTGCCGAGGCCCATTGTCTGATGATTGGATGATGATTGGAGAAGTACTGCCTGCAGTAACTCGTGTGCAGCAATGGCCGCCCGGGGCTCAGACCCGCCCCAGGCCACGCAGAGCCTTACTGCTCTGCGATGGGCTGTGCGACCAGGCACTGCCCAGGCCACAGTCCGCTGCGTCTGGCTGTGAGACCGAATGCTGCGTGTGGAAATTCAAAGGTCAAAGTCAACTGTAGAGTCAAAGGTACCACGCCCAGGCCCTTGGTTGGATACACTCACTTGTGGTGTGCAGGTACCCAGACAGCATCCAGGCCGGAGAGGATTCGGTTTTGGAATCATCTGAGCCCTGGTCCGCATTGAGATCTGAACGACTGAGGGAGGCAGTGTCCGGGGTCTAGATCCCGAGTCAACACTACATAAGGGCTGACTTCCCTGGCTTTGGATTCATTCGGTCTTGCGTTGAGGCTGACTTCACGCCTTGACTTCAACGCTGCTGGCATTTTGACTTGGCGAGGTGCTGCTATTCCGGCACGGTGGCCGGCTTGCTTTTGTCTTCTTGGCCTGCTGACGTGGCAGCTTCCATGCACCTTCGCTGATGTGGCTGCTGCCACGTGTATCATGCTGACGTGGCTGCTGTCCACGTTTTCTGCGACTGGGAGTACATATTCAGCATTGCTGTTCTGTTCGTTGTCGCTTCAGGAGAAGATCAGGACTGTGGGAAGTTGGAGGATACGTACCTGGTGGTCTTCATGTCGACATTGCTCCAGATGCTGATGTGGAACTGACTAGTTGTGCCACGTGGCACATTGAGGATACTCGGATACTCATTCAGACTATTGATTAATGAGGTGGCAATGGAGGAGGGAGCCCGAAGCAGGAGTGGGCATTTTTCTTCCTCTCCCTTGTCTCTTCTYTTTCCTCCCTSTTCGTCTGTGTGTGATATCTCACCTTCCTTCTGTCTGATCACGATTGTYGACTGTTTGTAATTATCAGCCGATGGATATTTTTATGGACTTGGATTGTTGACAACTGTCTCACGATCTGGGTTCATTACACCGCCATCTATTAYGAAAATACTCCTGTTTGGTAGCAGAATTGACAAATATTCCTGTTTGGTAGCAGAAATACAGGCTTTGAACAGATTTTGAACTAGTTTTGGTGGCGAGCGGCCTCTGTGTTAAACAACCACTTCCCCCGCCACTAGAAACTGTCGAAGTACGTGTAGGCCGCAATCGGCCTTTTTTAGTTGCGCAACCGGTTGTTCGCGGCCTACCGAGTCCCAGCCTGATTTGTTGTTGGAGATGTCGGACCCAGTAGGCTGCATGAGTTCAGATTTTTAGTTGCGCGACCGGTTGTTCGCGGCCTACCGGGTCCCAGCCTGATTTGTTGTTGGAGATGTCGGACCC